GGTAAGTTATTAGATTTTGAAAAAGGTAAATTCCATAGGCATCAAAGACAAAGATCCTAAACATCATAAGAAGAATTTCTTGCAAAAATACTGATGTGATCAAACTAAAAAACCACAATAGATACAAGTACATCACTGACACCATTGAGATACTTCAATTAGTATTAGCACCAAAGAATGAAAATAGCAATACAAAATAAGATCCTAATAGACCTATGCTTAACTAGAATTGGATCAATGTCAGCTACATTGTGGTATGCTAGGGGTCCTGGTACGAGGATGGGGATGTAGTACAACGGTTGTCAATAAAGCAGCATCCAAGGGGTAGGCTTAATTTGCCATATATTTGAAGCATTCATTTGGATTATTTGCCGTATTATATAGGAAGTAAAAGTTCTGGTTCATAATTTCACTTTGAAAGTACAAGTGGGTGCAACATTGACAATACATAAAATTAATGCACTAAAGAGAAGGTGTGTTTGGAAGTGTTTATGGCAAATGCTTATTTTGCTTTCCCTCCAAACTTGATCCCGCCAAAATGAGGAAAAAAAAACATTTATATTCTTTTTAATTTTAAAGGGGAAATAACTTTTAAATAACTTCCCATTTCAAGCCTATAGGATCTTAAGGTTTCAAGCCTTCAGAAATTAATAACAATCATATTTCAAATGTTAGTGTAAAAGGCTAAAGCACAAAAGAAAAAAATAACCCACACGTCCAACTTATTTTCCACGAATGAAACAGCCTAAATTAGATAATAGAATGCGGACTATGTTCATATTTTAAGATAAGGTAGCCTCACTATACAAGTAATTGGAAAGTGATTTCTGGAGCAAAAGTATGGTGGTAAAGATTGGTTTCGCATCTTTTCATATTAATAGGAGCAAGGAGGCACTTGTGGAGGATTGCTACCAATTCAATCTTGGAGGGCTTTCCGGGGAGATTGATTTTTCGAGACGAGCCCGAGATTGGGAGTTAGAAGCTTTTGCTGATTTCTTTAATTGTTGATTGATTCTCGCAAACACTGCGACTCTAATATGTAATGGTTTAGAATTGTGTCAAAGATGAATTATTGTCGGTAAGATCCTTTTACTGCCTGAAAGAGAAGACCGGCGATTGTGGTAGGATAAATTTTCCTTAGAAAGCTATTTGGAAAGAAAAAATTCCATTACTGGTTGCTTTCTTTGATTAGGAAGCTTTTTGGGAAGACATTCCTACTTTGGACAATCTGAAGAAGAGAAGAAGAACAAAAGGAATAAAAATACCATGACGCGTCTTCTTCTTCATTATCCTTGGATGAGATCTTGTGGCAATTGTTATGCCTCAATGAGGCTATGCTGGGTTACAGCTGGATCCAGTTAGCAAGAGCTATGGGATTGGCAGGGTATTCAAATCCGTCTGGCAGGGTACTCAAATCCGTCTCCATAGGATACTCAGTTCCTCCTACTTTTGGGTTAGTTTGGACACATAATAAGTAATTAAAAGTTTGTTTAAAGTTTTAATTTCTTTGATGGAGTGGGTATTAACTTTTGGATCTAAAAGCTTTGATTAACAATGTGAATTAATTGTCGTGTACATGACGTCCGTTTTGGCTTTGAGCTCTTTCTGTACATCTCTTGGCAACACCACCCACCCCCAAGTAAATTAAATCACTTAATTTACCACCAAGAGATATCACTTGAAACAGAATCAAAAGTTGAATCCTTTTCAGTAATTTGCACCTCAGCCAATCATTTCTTTTTTAATGATATAACATTATTTTTTAGGTGAATTGACCAATCATATATTGAAAAGATTTATATCCTATACTACTACAAGGTAGAAAGTTATGATTTTTTTTAGGTAAGCAGAACATAGAGATGTCAGGCCAGTTAATATTAGCAAGTGGAACTCTAACTAGAGACAGGTGACACAATGAAGGATTACTAGTTGACAAATCTGGAAGAAACGCGTTTTACAAGCTTATTTGATCATGATGCCACGTCATGCTCAATAATAGGTCAAACGTCCTAACGTCGACAATAATTTGCATAGTTAAAAACACAATCCATCACTCAAATGTCTTGTGCTCTCAGTGAGACACTAACGAAATATTACAATTAGGACAATCGATATTTCCAACCATTGTTAAAAACAGAAAAGATCCGGAAAGAATACAATCTAGAACATATCTAATTACAGATCAAATCTGTGAAGCCTGAATTGGGTCAACTTTTATATTAGGTTGATAATTCATGTTGGCATGCCATACACTCGTTTCTACTTTGCATCATTCTTGTTAACAAACCAAAACAACTAAGTTTTATTTATCACATCCATGTGGTGTTCTGGTGAAATGCATTATGTCATGCCTCCCAAGCCACATTGGAAATTTCTCTAGTTGAACGCATTGCGCTGTGCTGTTTCAGGTCATGTAATGGAGTCATATCTAAATTTGCCAACACTGAGTAAAATATCTTATGCTCAACAGAGTCTTATCTGCTGGCCAAAAAAGAAAAGGTCCGATCTATCCGCATTCAAGTCATAACTTTGGCCCAATTTAGACATCGTGTAGTAAATTCAGTCTAACCCATCAGCATTCAGGTCAAGAACATCTGAATTCCAATCTTATGTTCTCATGAAGAACCATTACTGGCAAGATGCAAAAGATAATATGAGATAGGCATGCAATCATTGATACCTCTGTATAGTAGAGAGAGAGAGAGAGAGAGAGAGAGAGAGAGAGAGAGAGAGAGAGAGAGAGAGAGAGAGAGACTCACTTGCACTTAGGGTGCTGATCACAACCTATAAAGTAGCCAGCACCAAACCTGCTTACTTTAAATATCAAAGTGCCCTCCATACAACTGAAAAATCAACGATTATAGATTAACGACTATAAAGGACATCATAACACCTTCATATAAGCAAAAAATACCACAGCTTTTTCCAATAGATGAAACTCCATAAATTTCCATCTAGCAAGCAAAAGCACATACAAACTGTCCACCAGATCAACCGACTAGACCAATCATTTTCAAAGAACAGTATATAAGTTGCAAACTCAGACAATAGTCATGGTTCAACTTCTATAGACGAATTAAGAAAAAAAGATAGATCGGTAAATCCAATGACAAGCTAGTTGTTCAAGTAAATCAAATTTGGAGGATAAAACTAGATGCTTGTTACATTTGACCATCAACACAAATAAGTAATGTTTGCGTATACCTTGGACACTTCCTACTTTTATCAGGAAGAGAAGCAAATAAAAAGTCCCCAAATGTCTTCTCCAACATCTTCTCCACCTGCCAATTTGAAAGCATTCTATTGAGATGAAATTACTAGTAGGCTCATGTGGGGAAAAAACCAAAAGAGCCATACCTGATGAATATGAACAGTAGCAGTGCGGTTGCAATATGAGCTAAATCGTGCCCAATAATCTTTCAGGAGACCTTTCCACTCTGTTAAACCAGCTGACACATTATCGAGCTGAACAGTGGTACTTATTAGACAAGGTCAGCCAAAATCAGCAGGCATACCGAAAATTGGAGTCATCATTGACAGAAAAGGCATTTTATGATTTAAAAGAGTTTACCTCAGTCTCCATATCAGCAGTAAAGCTATAGTCCGTGACCTCAGAAAAATGGTGAGAAAGAAATGCTGACACCTAAACATCAAAAGCAGAAACAGATAAAAAGTCAGGCATAGACAATTCTTTCAGCTGAGGAGGGCCAAGCCAAGAAGAAAAACAGACTCTAACCCATTTTTCGTCTTGATGACATTCAGAGTACAAAGATAAAACAGAATAAACCGCACATAGAAGCTTTAAATAAGTGAACAAACAATTATCAAAGCCTTATGATTACCTGTGTCACTGTGGAGCTTGGGACATTCAGCATTCAATAACTAAATGCATATCGGTCAAATCAATGGTGATTAATAGTAAAACCCAGTTCTTATTAGATTTTAATCTTCATTCAACACTAGAATCAAAAGATCCATCTCCAAGTAAGTCAAAACAATTAATCTCTTTCATCGACAATCTCCTACAGACCTGGCAAATGCCTAGTCTAGATAATGACCAAAGAAACACTTCTTATTTTAGGGGAAAAATGACAAACCCCAGTAACAGACGATCTCTTTCACATTTCCCAAGAAACTCTAACTTAATCATTCTTGCTGTCTATGGATGCAATTTCTTAAGTGACTCATAATACACCTTTGCATTTCCGTGATTTCAAGAATCAGACCATCGCAGAGCATTCTTGACAGCTTCACAGGTAGTATCATTTTACCAGAATCATTGAACCATGTTTTACTGTAAACAGCCTTTAACTCTTAAACGCAGACTAATTCGAGCTGACATTTGAATATATCAACAGAATTTTGATTTCCATCTCTTTATCTTAAACCTTTACTAAAATCTTTCAAGTTGCTTTCAACTTCACTTAAAGTAATGCTTAAAATGAAAATCATGTGCTAATGATCAAACAACAACTGCTAAACCTTTTTACCCCCTATCATACAATTTAAGGGATCCATCTACATCCTACAATACGTACTTGCAATTCCACAAGTCCCAGTTCAGCACTTCCTAATTTCATCTAAGGCCTTCTCCCAAGTCCTATTCTCTTGATATGAGCTCATTCGCTAAACCTCCTCCTCTCACTGAAACATCTTAAGTTCACTGTCTAATCTGCCCAAAACCACCACAGACAAGTCAGACATCATAGATGGAAGTCCTACTTTCCAAATATTATTCCAGTAACATGCCACAACACAAATCATAGTAAAAGAAAGAATCTGTTCATTCCTATAGTCTAATACCTGAAAAACAAACGTACATGATTTTTTTTTTCCAATTATACACAAAAATTCATTAAGAAGGTACCATTCATTAAGAAGGTACCAAGGGGTATCACCTCCATAAAGAATGGCTTCAAAAGGAAAGCCACCCATAAACAAATTTATGGATAAAAATGTTGCTCCTAACATTCCAACAAACTAGAAGTATGTCATTTCACTTTCCCAATATACCAAAATTGAAGGTGTTTAACCAATTAATTCTAAAACAATTCCAAGAGAATTCAACTCCTTGAAACGCCCTCTTGTTTCTTTCCTTCCAAATGAGACATAAAATGGAGAGGAATCATCTTAGTTAATTTTCTTCTTTCCTCCATTCCTAACAAACATGCTGCATGATATCATGTCCTCAATTCATGTCTTAAACGGAAGCATACTCTAGGCCCATAATTACCTCATGGAAGATTTTTTTTTAAATAAACCTACCATATATTGGAAAACTTCTCATAAGTGGTTTTCTAATTCAGCTTCGCTTAAATAACCACTTATGTCTTCGGTCATCTTAAGCAATCTTAATGACAATGTTCTCTCACCACTGCATATATTGGAAAACTTTTTATAGGTGGTTTCTAACTCAGCTTTGCTTAAGTAACCACTTATGTCTTCAGTCATCTTAAGCAAACTTAATGATAATGTTCTCTCGCCACCGCATAAACGAATGCTTTTGACAAGGCTTTACCACCAAACCTTTTTTACAGAATCTAATTTGGGTTACTATTTGCGAAATTTCAAACATAAGTTTCCTATTTCATCCACTCCCCCAACTTCTTTAACTTTTACGGACAAATAAACTAAATTTTTTATCAACCATCATAATAAAAATCTCTCTAGTTCTCTGTCAACATACCTATAGCGACAGAGACAAGGTTCATTAACAAGTACTGAGTCATCCTACTGTATCTATCAACACGACATGATAACCTATTCTCCACTTATGTTGCTAAGAACCTATTCTCATTTGTTTTGGGAGATAGGCACAGTTTATTGCAAGAGCACCAAGGGCATGCATCCTCGGTGCAGACCAACAACAAGGAAAAAGATTCTAAATGTCTAGAAAAATGTCTGAATCAAATACCCAAGACCAACAAAAAGAAACACACAGCAATTCGCCCTTAACAATGCTTAAGGAGCTTTCTTTGTTCTCCAGAGCCCTTGAATAAATTTCTTCCCCAACCAACCAAAAGAAATGGAACGAGATTCTTTACAAGCCACTAAAAGCTCAGTCCTTCAAGGCTATAGCTCATCCAACATAGAACTGACCACAAACCCATTAACACCAACGAGAGCAAGAGATGAGCTTCAAAATTTCCAGACCTCTGAGCATAATCTGCACAACTACCGCAAATTAAGGGATAGCTCCATCATTAAAATGCTATGTGGACAAGCATCAGTATGCTGACAGGATTCCATCCATTACTGGAAGCCCTCTGGTTTCTACATGAGAGATCCAGCAGTCAATCTATGGCAAAAGATGAGCCATTTTGAGGAGGTGCTGGCAAGTAGGAATAATTAAGGAATAAATGGTTCTTTTGTGACCTCACCATTAGTACTGGCTGTAGGCCTATCTGGAATTTCTTCCTACATCCGACATGATCCAAGTTTCTACTTTTCTTACCTCATTGTATCCATCTAATGTCACATTCAAACAATTCAGAAGAACCTCACACAGAAGAAAACGGTCCACAAAATTCATTTCTGAAACTCATCATATATTACAGTCTATGACTATGTAAGTGATTTCCATGATTGAAATTGAATTTAGCAATGACTACTGTGTAGACAGAATTTTCATGATGTTATTCAGTAAACAGCAACATACCATGCGGCCCCGAAATTCAGGATGTAGGACACGGGCTTTTACCGTCACATAATTTCTGTCCTGAACCACAGAAAAAAAAAGCACATGATTGATTTGCTGCTACGATAGCAATGATAAGGATTTATAGCTGACAACTGCAATCGCAGGAAACATTATTAGAGGAATGTCTTTTCTCCACTTTTGGACAAATGTGTCTCCCATTAAGAGGCAAATTAAGCATGAAAGACTAGTACAAGTTGAATTTGTAGTGATCAGTGTCCGTCCAACTGGACCAGACCTGGAACTGTCCTATTGACCAGATAGCAATTCAACCATTTGAATTATTTAACTGACCACATCTTATAAGCTCTTTTAGTCAAAGTACTATTACTTCATGGTGATTCGAGAACTCATATTTTCCTCATATGATACAACACCAGAGAATATGCTGTACCACTGTTTGACCAAATTTGTTTTTGCACACAAATCTGACAAATAATATCCCAATCTGACAACTTTAATCTGAAGCGCCATATTTCAGAGGCGACATCATGATTCACAAGATCACAAAATTCACCAAAATGAAGATGGTAATTTTTAGCTTTGCAATTAATTCAACAGCTTTCAGTTTAGTCATGTAAGACGAGGACAAAATCTGCAGCTGTTATGAAAATCCAATTTTGAAAGGATACCGTGCAATAGCAAAGTCAGTTAAAATTTATTGCTTCTGCCAGGATAAATGGAAGAAGGCTAGACAAGCATAGCCCATCAACCACAGAAGGACCAAAGGCCCTGATGGAAAAAAGAAGAGCCATTACTTGCATTCAGGACCACTGTTTCAAGAAGTCAGATCAGCCTGGAGTTTGGGAAATCAAAAGGGGATGACTGGTCTACGTTTGTCTTCCTCCATTAACTCAAATAAAAACTTGAATATAAAGAAGTAACTCGAGATGATTTTCAATATTCTCTGTTGGCTAATTTTGAGAAATGTTCAGAATTCAATCAGTGAAAGACACTGCCATTTAAAAATCATGCAAAGGCTAATATACTTCTTTGGAAGTTAATGAAAATCTGAAACTCTGCAACATTCTTTATCTGCCTTATTTTAATTTGTAACAGCCTCCTGGGTTATATCTTGACATAGACAAGGTGATCATTGGATAAAACACTGCATGTTACAAATTTAATTTGACTAAAAGTCTCAACCCCACTCCTGTTGATGATTTCTATATTGAAATGAGATTCATAGAAAATCACCCTATGCACATTCATGATTCTCAAATCTCAATGCTATCTGCCATCATGAAAATTGCACAATATCAGAACATTCACTGCCTTCTGCATGCAATTCTAGGCATTTACCTGCAGCACTTTCAGTGTGCTCGCGTATGTAGACGGCCTCCCGATTCCAAGCTCTTCCAGCTTCTTAACCTTTAACACTTAAGATTGTAAAGATGCAGAACAATGCATCCAAAGGAAAAAATTACAAAAACTAGCATCCCCAGTAACATAACTCAGCCACTACTTTAACATAACTCAGCTACTATTTTTCTAATCTCAACCAGAAGATTACTCTGAATCCAGTCAAAGGGATAACAGCTATATAGACCCCTCCCTCCCAATCTCTATGGAAAAACCCTCGTGAAAACTCGAAAACACCAAATGAATATAAATATATCACTCTTAAATCCTCCTGAACACCGTCGAAAACACCAAACACATACTGTTACAGAAAGAACAAAACTTCTCAATGATGCATGTTGCAAGTAAATCAACGAAACAATAACCTCCAAATATAAAATCTTTCTAATGAACTTCAGCTTTTCAGAATCATTCCGAACATGAGAAGATGGAGTCCTTGCCGATATTAGGCACTTCGTGAAGATTACCCGAAACCATTTAGAAGAGTTCGATTATATAGATAAAATGACAGTAACTTACTAATGCACCCTCTGAGTAGCGCGATGGAGGCTGAGTGTAGTGTTGCTTGGATCGCACATCACTGAGAGTCAGTAAATCTCCAACCTACTAAACAAATATACATTAAAATCTTGATAGAACTTGAAAGTAAACTGGCAATTATAAGCAAAAGATCATCATGAACAAACTCTGATATAGTTCCATCTCCTTACACGGATTTACTTAGCAAGACAAACATTAATTCTTCTATATCGTCTTAATGATGGTTCTATACCTTCAGAGAGCTCAGTACTTCAAAAGCTTCATCACGTTCATTCCCTTCATTTTCTTTAGACCTCACTGTTTCTGCTTCCACATCCTAAAAATAGAAATACAGCAGTATTAAAAGTAGCTTGGCAAAAGAAAAATACCCATCCACAAGAGTTGATCCAATCGAAACATTGGCTCTCACCGAAAACAAAGCCTCAAACATGACTCACCTTGTAGACTTAAATGTTGCACTATAAAAGAACATGCAAATGCAGTCAAAACACGTTTTAAAACTCAACTTTCTAAACAAACATAAGCAGATTCCCAACTACACAATATTACTCAAATTTATCATTGACATCTAGCTCTCTCGTTTGAAGTAAGGCTTCTTCCTACTATGGATTCGGCTCAGACATTTTCTGTGCAGAAGCTGACTAACTAAGATGCTCTTCTGCAAAATCACGGTTCCATAGACCAAATTCACATTGAGATATATAAACCGATAAAAAACTATACTCCTTGTCCTTTTTTCTCCATTAATCATCTATAAATGCCTGTTATGATAAGTCAGAATACTGGCAAGAAACTGGTTAATACACATGGAAGTAGGATAACATTTAATTATAAATGATTGCTTACACTGCGAATCTCCACGTGGTTATCTTCATTTAAGATTTCAGTCAGCTTCCAATTCGGGAGAAACACTTTTAGATTCTATTTTAACCACTTGTAAAATCCAGCAAGACTCCCTCACTCAATGTAGGTTCAATTTTACTTTTTCTCGCACTAAAAACCATGAATCCACAGATACTCTTGAGTGCACCGCTATATCTATTTGAACATCCTCCATATGAATGTTATTCCTCATCAAATTCCCAAATAAGCTTGTTGGTCTTTCGGAAATTACCAGTACCATTTCTTACATTTGATAAGCATGCTTGTTAAACTCTATCCAATCTGAAATAATGATACTTTACCATAACAAACTCAAATGGCACTCACAGCAATGAGCTGCTTGGAATTTCACACATTTTTAACATAGAAGCCATGACACAAGTGTACTGAGCACAAACATGCTGATAAAGATTTTATACCTTGAAAACTGCCTGGTAACCAAGAAATCCAATTTTTGAGCTTGAAGTATTCAACACAATAGACCCATCAGCATTCTTAATCTCCACATGAATCTGGATTAGAAGAAGACTTTAGTCCTTGAGTCAACGACCTTTATGAACAAGATAAAAGCAGGTACCGACAAAGTTGATAAAAGCAACAAAAACTGAGAACACTGTTATAGTTGAACATGCTTTAAATCTAATTCATAATGTTGACTGGGGAAGCATAGAACCTCTTCCATTTCCATAACTAATTGATTTATGGTTTATTACTCCTAAATTTCCAGAACTGAGGTCTAGTACTCTCTCATCCAGAACAAATTTAGAGTAAAAGTTTACAAATGGTACTGAATTTAACTTGAGTCGCTATAGCAACTTCTCTTAACCATGATTATCAACATTGACCAAGCATGCATTCCACTTGTCAGCAAAGGGATGTTAGAGAAAATTATCAGATACACTTCATCCTAAAAATTTTCATCCGAGGAAGAGACCATGGGAACACATTGATAACCCTTCGCAACCTATTCCAGGGCTTTTCGTTCTTTGTAACTTTTGGCTTTTTCTTAGGGCATTTTTGGAATTAAATAGGACAAAGCTACTGCATTCTCGTGCTTGAACAAACAGAAAAGGCCTCACTAATTGGGGAGAAAAAGAGAAGGAAAGAAAAGCTCTATAGTAGAAACTCGTGAAGCTTATCATATCCTTACCTGATTAATTACAGCAGGTTCCATTTGGCATGCGATAGTACGAGACCAGATAAGAGTGTACAACTTCAAAGAATCTTCATCAAGTATATTAACTAGCGATGCTACAAGACAATAAAAGAACATTAATAGCATGCCTCAATCTGTAACACATTAGTCAATAAGTCTTGGAAAGTTGGTAACATTACATGGCAACCTCCGGATATCAGTTGGTCTAATTGCTTCATGAGCTTCTTGAGCATTCTTCACCTTCTTAAAGTACTTGCGTGCAGCCTCTGCTGCAAAATCTGACCCATACCTACATTACAAAGCAATTTAAGCATATTAGACCTGCTATCTTCGTGGTTTTCATTAATTTCATAGTTTTATTTCACAATATCAAGAGTCAACTTGATGATTTAACTACACGCCATTCATTGGAACATCAAAAAATTTAGCGGACTGTCAAATTGCTGACACACACATGTGCATTACTTCCTAAATTCCTCCAGCATCATATACTTTAATACTTTCTCAGAACCAATTGCACGGTACAATATATTAATCTCCAAATGGTAAGGATGCTTTGGTATGGAACAATGAAAGAGATTGAATCTTTTCTGTAAAGTCTTACTACAAGCTGCTAGATAGGGAGGTCGGCAGTGGTACAATGGATTGTCCTTGGAAAGCAATTTGGAAAGTGAGGGTTCTGGACAGAGTTTCCTTTTGTTGGTTTTTTTTTTTTTCTCTTGGGAAGCAACTTGAGAAGAATCCTTACTTTAGATAATGGTTTGGACGAGAATGGTCTGGACAATTTCCTATGCTTGCACAGGGTTAAGTTGAGTTATTTGAGGTTCCATCGAGCAAACTTTGGGCTTGGCAGGGCATTTGTTTACAGTGCAACAAGAAAAGAGGGATTATTTCAATTCCTCTCCCTCTGTTTTTTGGTTGATTTTGGAAGGCGTGGAACAAGAGAGCTTTAGATGGAGAGGAATCTTCCATTTCTTTTGTTATTGAAAATTGGCTTGAAAGTTGTACACC